GTTATAGTTTTGATTAATTATAATTTAGACCATTAGTTGATCAAATTGTTGTGAAGTGGCTTGAATATAAAACTTAATTGAAGATATTGTGAAGTTTTTGTGGCTAAAGTATAATTTTCAAAATTACTTATGCTATGTAAGTGCTGACTGCTGCCACATAAGCATTGACAGGGGGATTCCATTAAAAAAAGAAAAAACAACAGAAGTTCACCCACAGAAGTTCAGATCCCCTAATACCACCCACGGGACTCAGAATTTGAAATTGAAATTTGATTATGTCCCAATAATGACGCCCAGCGATCGGCCACCCCACCTCCACTTCCACCTCTACCCTTCCCATGCACCTCCTCCCCACCACCCTCCCCCAATTTTCTTTTAATTTCCCTTCCTCAAGTTCTCTGCGACATTTTCACAAACATCCAAACGGCATCCCGTCGACGTACTTCCCATTTATTATATTTTTCTTAATGTGGGACTTTGAGCTCGTTTTCAACAAGAATCGTATCCCAACGTTGCTAACATTATCTGTTTGGTTGTCTTCTTCTTTTTTCTTTATAATCTATCCATGAAATGAAGAACAGGGGAAGAAGTAACAGTGGTTCTGTAATTGGGTATGGGGGCTTTTTGGGTTTTTCATGGCGGCTTGTAATTTGCTAGGTGACTACGACAACTCTCTTAGCGTGAATGGCACAGAGATTGGTATCCTCAAAGAGCCCCACGAGATACGCCTCGGCAGCCTCCTAGAGAGCAACGACTGCACTGCTCTGGAACCTGAGATCGGTCTTGAAATCCTAAGCGATCTCTCGCACAAGGCTCTGGAACGGAAGCTTTCGGATCAAGAGCTCAGTACTCTTCTGGTACTTCCTGATCTCTCTCAGAGCCACAGTTCCCGGCCTGAAACGGTGAGGCTTCTTCACTCCTCCGGTGGCCAGTGCTGATTTACGAGCAGCCTTGGCGGCAAGCTGCTTCCTTGGTGCCTTGCCTCCGGTCGACTTACTGGCTGTTTGCTTAGTACGAGCCATCTCAGGGAACAACAGTGAGATTCTAAGGAATTTTGGGAGAGGGGGGAAGCGGTAACTTTCGAAATTTGCGGCGCTTCTCATCGCCGTCGGTGAGAAGAGAGAGTGCAGACCAAATTCAATTCAAAATTGAAATTCAGGGGTTTTAGGGTGAAATTGAAATACACATATTTTACTCTTGGGAATTACATTGTTAAAATACATGTATTTCATCCAAATTTAATTACATTTTATTTAAGTAAAAGCAAACAATAAAATTGAATTTGAGCACTCCAAATTCAAATACACACTGCAAAATTCAAGTTACCAAACAGAGCATTAGAGATTTCATATTTCTAACAAAATGATTTCATTGAATCTAGCAATTCCTAACTGGTTCCCCTCATCCTTCAGTCCTTCAACTTGTTAGGGAC